ACAAAACCATACTCCAGAACCTCAAAAAGAGGTTGACGGATGCCAAAGTATAATGGAAGGAAATCTTGCCCGAAGTCCTATGGGCATATCGTACAATCTCAAAATCCAGTACCGGGGCCACTTCATTCTCGTTGGTCTACGGTGTCAAAACTCTTATACCGGTCAAAGTAGGAGAACCGAGTCTCCGGGTCCGACATGCGACCGAAGAGTCAAACGACAAGGCCATGAGTACGAACCTGGAACTGTTAGACGAAAGGCACGAGGTCGCCCTCGTCCGAATGGCCACCCAAAAGCAATGAATCGAAAGGTATTACAATCAAAACTAAGCTTCGATACCTCAGTATCGGGGACTTGGTGTTAAGAAGGGTGATGCTGAGCACCCGGAACCCAAACGAAGGAAAGCTGGGACAGAATTAGGAAGGCCTATATCGAATTATCGAGATCATCGGTAAATGATCATACAAACTCGAAGCAATGAACGGTGAACGGCTACCGAACAACTGGAACATAACCCATTCAAAACGGTACTACTGCTAAGGTACGACACCATTCAATGCCTTTCTTTAAATATATTACGGATTGGGCTGACACTTGCAGGTAACAACCAAGGAACGATGCGACTATTAGGCCTGAAAGCACGCGTTGCACTCTTTTACCCTTCGAACCGGTTTTGTCCCAAATGGATTTTCCGGCAAGGTTTTTAATGAGGCAACAGTGGATCGTGCTAACTTAGAATTGGAGACTGACTATGAACCGGTGTCAAGCATCGCATCAACAGTATCCGAGCCCTTTCTAAAATCGTCCTCGAACATTGGGAGCCATCACCCTCGGATATTGATTTTAGCAAGGAAGGAAACTTAGTGCTCAAACATGTCTAGGCTTGGTGGATAGGATATGTTGTAAGGGCCAAACGGTCATATGAATCGTGCCCACATAGGCCACATAAGCCCGAATGAAACTTGTACACATTTGCAGTCTTGTATTTTGCACGGAAATAAAAGAAAGTAACCTTACAGATACAAACTTTGCCTCTTAAAAAACTACTGTATTTTGTAACTTAAGGACATCGGGCCCAAGAGCCATCTCTTTCCGAATTCAAGAGATCACCCCTGCTCGGGGACTATCGTCATAGGCAAGCCCGGATAGCTCAGGCTACGAAGCCCGGGGGCACAAAACCTATTAGGCAGTGCCCGAACTTTAAATGTTATGGCCATCTCTATTCGGGGACTATTGTCTCGGGCAAGCTCAGAAAGCTCGGGGTAATAAGCCCATTATGAAATACCCAAACTTAAAATGCTAAGGCCGTCCCAGAACGGCTCGGAGACGTCCGAGATCCATAACCAAAACACAAGGCCTTCAAAATTTCTAAACCTGTTCGAAGGCTACCCTCGGCAAACTTATAAATAATTCTAAGCAAACATTTCGGGGAAAGCTTCCGGTCATACCAAGCCCCCCACGAGTTTTGAGAAAAATAATATCGAAAACGAACAAAGTTCGAACCTCCGAATAAGACCTAATTATTAAGTGCTAAAGCATCTGAAATCTTTGCAATCATAAAGAAAAAAGCAAAAAGAAACAAGCTCGAAAATTGCCGAAGGGACCTAAACAAAATGAAAGAGTACAAAAGCAAAAATTACAAGGCACCTAAGAAGCATGATCCTCACCGAAGCCCGCCTCATCACCGGGACCATCGGGGTCTTCTCCGCTCCCGGATCCATCGGAACCCTCGGAGTCTTCTTCGCCCTCGGGATATGCCAACTTCTTAGCCTCGGCCTCGAGCCCCTTAACATTTTCGATCTTGGCCGATAAATCAAAACCCCGAGCGTGAACCTCCTCGAGGGCCTCCCTTCGGGATTGCCACTTCACATATTCAACGATATCTTTCAGGCGGTCCTGGGATGCCTCAATATCAGCTTTGTACTGGGCCACCATCTCATCGGCATCGGCCCTGGTTATTTCAGCCACTGACTTGGTTACTTTAAGCTCTTTGGCGAGGGTATCCCGATTGGCAACAGTCGAGCCCAGTTGAGACTGGAGCTCCTCGATTTTTTGGGACCGGGACTCATATTTCTCCCTCATCGCTCGAAGTTGAGGCTCCGTCGAGGCCAATTGCGCCCGGGCAGTCTCCTTTTCTGAGGCTAAACAATCCATCTTGCCTTTCCACTCTTCAGCCTCGACCTTGATTACACTCATCTCGGCCCGGAGTTGGTCGATCCGATCAATTTTCTATTGGACATGCGGGTTCTGACCATTAGTCACAGTGTCTAGCTCATCATCACTAACTTCAAAGATTTTTACATGTTCCACCAGGTCGGCGTGTTCTTTCTGAGACGCGTCCAACTTGGCTCGAAGGCTTTTAGACTCTCCTTTACGTTGCTCGCTGAGAAGTTTGTACATGTCTTAGTGCTCATCAAGCTCTTTGACTTCGGCCTCGAGTTAGCTCACCTCATCCCGATACCGGAGGAAGGTCTTATGATGAAGCACCGAGGACTGCAAATATGAGAAGAAATATTAGGATAATCAAGAACTAAAGTTGAAAAATGAAAAGGTTTGGGAACACCGTACTCGGTTTAACATTTTTTGTGACTCATTGAACAAGCATGACGTATCCACCTCATTCATATTTGCCTGGTCTACATTGGTTACCAGGCACTGGAGGTAACTATCTACCCCCACATGGGCAGAAAGAACCCGGCCATCCTCCGGAACGGTGATGATAATGGGGACAGTTGACCGGCGACTGATATGCATTTAATGCGATTATGACATGACTGGCGAGACGTTTCAGATGTTTTTTCGTTTCTGTCACGATGGGTCGAAGTAAGAATCGGGAGCTCATGTCATTTCTCGTCATTTACTCTCCGAGAAACGAGGGGACTATCTATATACCGATAAAATCGGGCTCATGGTACACCCCGGTCTTCGACAAAATAAGCCAAGCTTGAGACATGATGACAGGGGACCGAAATCGAGGCAAAAGTCTCATCGAGTCAGAATCCGGGGGCATGACGCCCGCCCTCGAGAATATCGGGGTCATGGTTCGGAATTGGTTCTAGCCTTGAACGACTTCGAAGAACATTGTCGGGCAATCAATCACGGCCAACGGAAGGTCGTAATATACGTGACCCGCCGAATATCACGGCGGGGATCTCGGCACGTATCGATGAAGAACTAGCAATCATTTAATTAGAGGAGTTTTTACCTTTATAGCCTAGAGTAGGATTCCCCTACTATATAAAGGGGTCTGATAATCCATGTCAGCCATGGTAACACGTATTCCAAAGCAATATATTTTAATTTTCTCTATTATTAGCTCTTTCTCTTGTTCATCAGTGATGGCCATAGCGAGCCCGGATCGAGGGTGAATATTTCAATAAGGCTGGAACTATTCTCCTCGTGTGGTTTGAATCCATTTTATCTTTGTTTATTCAATTTGACCTAATTTATCGCTTTGTATCAAATTAACTCGCGTATCCTTAAAATCACTTACAAATTTAATTGTTATCCGATTTTGAGGGTAAACAGAACCAATAGTATAACGGAGGTTTAAATATTTATTTTTAAATAATAGAGGGATATTTTTGATCCTTCTCCATAATTGTTTTTTTATCTTCCACTTAGTGTTTGCTATTCGCATTGGATTAATTCCGATAAATTTAGATTTGCATCATTACTCGCATTAAATTCCTAATAAATTGAAATTCGTGGGGTATAATATTTAAAAATATTCTTTATCTAAAGTTTTGCTTAAATTGTCAATTTCTCTAAGACTTTTTTCGTGACAATTTATTTGTTTATCATCCATTTCATGTTCGCAATTCGCACTAGATTAATTTGCGATAAATTTAGATTCCTAGCATTTGTTGCATTGGATTCTTAATAAATTCAGATACATATTGTATAAGGTTTGAAAATATTCTTTATCTAAAATTCATCCTAGTTTCAGAAATTAGATCGAGACTTCTAATTAAGGTTCGAAATTTTTTACGTAGCCCACCATAATCTTCAATGGATTTTCCTCGATAGTTATTGATTATAATTCCATATGGCACGTTTCCATCTTAAAACATTTTTAAAAAACTGATATTATTATACAATTTTTATGCTAATTTCATCAGACTCCATTAAACTTCACCTTAATATACATATAAATCAAATTAGTCTGTTAATTAAATCTTATAAAATGACAGGAAAAATAATAATATTGAAGTAATTGGAGTTTAGAGTGCAAACTCGTACACTGCGATCTAAATTATAATGCTTTGGTCACATGATACTAACTACCGAACCAAACTACAAACTAAACTGCTATCACAGGTAATGATCCAGAGATACGTACTTCTTCACTCCTTGAAAGAGATCTCGAAATTGAACATTAAAGATGAAATAACCGATATATTAAAGAGCGTATTATCACTCTCAAAAGGAAACTTCCCCGATGTGGATAGAGATAGGCATAGTTTGAACAACCCAAAATTCAAATTGAATTCCAAATTTTTTGGATTTATTTTTTATTTGAATTTTCGGATTACGAATTAAATTTTGGATTTAATTTTTAAAATTTTTGAATTTCAAATTGGATATTGAATTTGCTACTTTGTATTTTTAAATATCCAAAAATTCAAAATTTTTATATTCCATATTAAATCCATTATCTATATGAATCAGAATACTTTTTATTTGAACATGATTTTACTATTGTTACTTCTTATCGACCTTATTAATGTCTCTATTGTATTTTCATGATAATAATTATATTACTTGAATATTGTATTTGAATAATTACCGCGAGAATAAAGAACTTTTCGGGCAATTTAACATGAGTATTTCACTTGAATATTTAATTTTTTTGAAAAGAAGAAACATTTTAACTCATAAGCTCAAAACTGAAAATTCAAAATATATACACCGATTAACCTGAAACCAAACTTAAAAAATCCGATCCAATCCGAATTTATTTAAATTAGATTTAGATTGTCATTTCTTCGATACGAAAATCGAAAATTCAAACCGAAATTTTCATATCCAATCCGAACTGCCCGAATACCCACCGCTAGATCTGGATTAATCGGAGTCCAAAACGGACCGAAAGAGAAACAAACGAAAAAACCAAACTACAAATCAAAACTCATCCTTTTGCTCGTTGACGGTCGTGATTGACTCCCCAACCACGGATTCCAAAGAGCAAGTGCGCCGCTGCAATTAGGAACTCCACCGCTTGTTGTGCCGTTAAAAGCTGCAGCAAGTTCTCAATGGTCTTCATCCTCAGTTGATCTGCTTTCTCTAATATCTCCACCAGCCTTTCCATCTTCCTATCAACGTCTCCCATGGTTCCAATCATATCATTTGCACTATCCTATATGTTAATCGCAAATATACAATTATACGTAACGCATTTAAAGGAGACCTATATGTACGATTTAAAGATCATTTAAAAGTTAAAATATTGTAATCTAAAAAATTAGTGTACATAACGAGGTACAACCACTCAGACTAAACAGGCAATGTCAAGTGTCTAATAACTTGTAGTCTTGTTGACGCGTAAAACATTTTCATACTATAGGTATACTTAATTTAAGCTATTATAACATGTTATATGTTTTCTACTGTGTTCTTTTATACTAATATGATCACCGGATAAATAACCACAAGCGATCTTCCATTAAAAATAGTACTTAGAATTTTTAACTTAAAAATAAAGAAAGTTACCTAGTAGTCATATTAAAATACACGTCCTTTACACAAAAATATAAGTTCAATGTTAACTAATTTTAATACGATGGATTTTAACACATAATATATCTTTTTTGTAAAAATTCTCGTACGCCGTCAGCTTCAAAGTATGAAAACAAAAAACCAAAAAAGAAAACAAAAACAACAATAACTCAGTATAATCTCATTATGGGATTCGGAAAGGTGACGTGTACGCAGACCTTACCCTACCCTGGAGTAAAGAGGCTGTTTTCTATATATCACCGGCTCTCTCCCTCCAAGAACTCCTCACCTTGCTCTTGGGGTGACTCGAACTCACACACTTAGAAGTAGAGGGTGTTCACCACTAGAGCAACTCACTCTTGTGGGAAAAAAAAAAAAAAACCAACAAGAAAAAGAAAACAAGAAGATGAAATTCCAGCTGCTTGCCTGCCAATCTGAGAGTTGTTCAGTGATAGCATTTTCTTGCTGGACGGTTTCGTACTGAAACTCACTGAACCGACTAAGCTGATTAGGTGAAAGATCCACAAGGTCGCCGTTACGGAACCCACGAAGGATATCAACGATTTGAGACTCAAAAAGGATGCTGGATTCAGTGTAAAAAATGTGGAAAGCAGTAGTGGGTCGCCAACCAGCAATCCAATATAAAGATCTCTCTAGAGAATTTGACCATGGTGCAGTGAATATATGGAGTATGTCATTTTTGGCTGCCATGGACTTGACACGGTAATATTCGTAGTAATGGGAAGTGAATTTTTGGATTAGCTGTGTGTGCAATTCGTGTTGTTCTTGGTTAGTTGCAGGTCTTGGGGATTTCTTTAGTTGTTGGGCAATTTCACGAAGTTGTTCATGCCATGCTTCGTGGAATTGATGGAAACCACTCATTTTTCCTTTTTGTTTGAACGTTTTTCCCCCCCTAGGAGTTTAATTGAGACTCCTTTTTGTGGGTTGATTTATAGGCCTTCGAATTTTGGAAGCTAGCAATATATGTGCATGATCATAGAGAGGTCGCGCCTGCAGTCTTTTGTTTGGGACTCGGAAGATTTGCATCGGGTGGAAGAATGTCACTTCATGGTAAGGAAAAAGTTATTTCGACAAAATATCTATAATTAGATGAGGAACCAATAATGGTTGATGAGTTTCGAAATTCTGAGTGTGATTTGTTGGTCGAATTGCTTTCGTTTAAAGTAACTGAACCTTTTTTCTTTTTTTGGATAAGTAAACGGAACCAAATGTTAAAATATCATACTGTCAGCATATACCAACCCAAATCAAAAAAAGTACCCGCATCGAATGCATGTACACAAATAATAAGAGGTACATTTGGGTAAAATAATTAATTTTACATTAGACATAATTTTTATTTAATTAATTTTTAAATATTTAAAATTTTATACTTAACTAAAGTTTGGGTTATGAAGTGAATATGTTAGAATTCTAATATTTGTGGGGAGAGAGGGGGAGGGGGGGGGGGGGGGGGTAAGGTAAAAATCGATTATCGTATAGTATTAGAGTCAAATTGAAAGCATGCAAACCTATAGCAAAAAGGATGAATTAGTAGAAGATAAATATATTCTAAATGCAAACCTTTAGCAATTAATAAGGATAATTAGTAGAAGACAAATGTATTCTATATAAGATGTCATTAATTATTTTTCTTTCTTTTTGCATTCATTATATTATAAAAGATTAACTCAATATTAATTATTCGTATACATTATATTGTCACTTGTCAATATTTTTCTAGAAGTTAAAGGGTCAATCTCTTCATTCGCAAACCTTCAAAGACCAAAAGATTTAATTTTTTAACTTTATTATTTTGACAAATCATTGAAGAATTGTGATAAAACGCATGTTTGTGTTACTTGTTTGTTTTTCGTATTAAATTGCAAAATAATAACAATTTCAAAAAATATTCACAAGCATATGAAGATTTATGTGGGGCATGATTTCTTTTTTAATTGAGCTTGCTAAATAGATCAACATCATAACTTTCAGAAACTTACACTGTTTTATTTTATAAAAAGCTTAAACATATTGTTTAATACTAATATTTATGTAAATTTTTACAACTATATATTTATTAAAATAGGGTACACGCGCAAAGCGCATACTCTAAGACTAGTTATACTAAAAGCACGAATGCCCTTAGCGAAATGTCGTCTACCTTTTTTACCCATTAATAATCGAGTTCACACTGGACGAAATAGTCATTTAATTATTTTTCTAATATATAGGAATAGTCATTTAATTATTTTTCTTATATATAGGAATAGTCATTTAATTAGTTTAGTCATTTAATTATTTTTTTAATATTTAGAAATAATAATTTCATTATTTTCTTATATTTATAGAGAATCATTTCTTTATTTCTCAAATATTTAGATCTTTGATTTGGAATATCATATTATTTAATTTAAGTCCTTCACTATGAACTCCACTTAAATCTAAGAGTATTCAGTTCCAAACACTTTACGAGTAATTTCAATTCCTTTCATTTTAATTTCTTTCGATTACTCCCGTATATGATCCATGTTAACCAAAACTTTAATTATAATTAATATAAATAAGTTAATTCCTTCTTCAAAAAGGTATTTAATGTTGCATAATATCTAAGACTATAATGTTGCTACTAAACAGTTGCTACTCAAAGTAATGATGAATTAGGAAAACTTGGCATTTAGAATTGTGGTAAATTAGATACCAAAAAGTTTGTATCGTATGAAACTTTAAGTTAGTGAAAAATACTTGCCGACTAATATTTTAATTTCTTTTAAAAAAATAAAAGAATTAATTTTTGCCAAAATGAGTTGAATAGGTCGTATCTATGAATGAGTATGTTCACAAAATTGTAAAAAAAAAAACTAATGACGGAAAAGTTAGAGTGTCATGACTCAATTTTCCCTCTGTATGACGTCGTGACGACACCTAATCTCTACGACTAGGTAAGCCTAACATTTGCAGAATAATGAAATGAAAACATAAATTTAACAACTAACTGTTGCAGTAACAACATAACTGGGTACCATGCCGCCTGACATGTACAATAACCAACTATTCAAAAATACACAAAAATCCCAAAACTCGGAACATCATGAATCACAAACTACAGAAGGAAAGACTAGTGTCTCTATACATCAGAGTCTAACAAAAGAAAAATACAGAAGATAATGGACATGGAAAAGAGTAGAAGGGGACTCCAAGGTCTGCGGACGCGGCAGATATACCTTGAAGTCTCCAAAGCTGTCCCGGTTCACTGATAGTGCGACTGATAAGGAGCACCTGGACCTACACACGAAAAATATGTGCAGAGAGTAGCATGAGTACACCACAATCGGTACCCAGTAAGTGCCAAGTCTAACCTCGGTCGGGTAGAGACGAGGTCAGGTCAGGGTCCAAATGGTATATATATATAATAAAACAAGGTAAAATAAAATACCGCAGTAAAATAAAGACTGAAATCTAACAGGAATGAAATCATAGAAGACAACATCTCACTACACAGAGATAACAACATGGGATCTCCCGATATACCGTCTCGTAGTCCCCAAACGTAAATGTGTAGGGGAATCTCCCGGAATATCATTCCATAGTCCCAAAGTAAATATGCAGTACAGAGGAATCTCCAGGAATACCATTCCGTAGTCCCAAAGTAAATATGCAGTACAGGGGAATCTCCCGGAATATCATTCCATAGTCCCAAAGTAAATATGCAGTACAGGGGAATCTCCCGGAATACCGTTCCGTAGTCCCAAAATTAAATATGCAGCTCAAACAATAGAATTAGAAGCTACAACATGAAATCCTACGATTTAGACAAAGTACAAGTCTAGGAAAAGCAGGAAATTCACTAAACATGCTGCACGGAGTTCGGATAAGCAATTAAGGCAAGTAGACATGCTATTCTGAGCTAACAGGATACTACACATGCTAAGGTAATTCAAATAAGAAGGAAACAGGTTATTACTTAGCAGAAATCAAGTTTTTAAAATAATTAGCCCGTGTACATACTCGTCACCTCACGTACACGACGCTCACATATCAAAACAGTACCAAATCCTATGGGGATTTCCCCCCACATAAGGTTAGGCAAGCCACTTACCTCGAACCAAGCTCAATCAATCGGTCACAATGCCTTTCCCACGAATATCTGGCTCCGAATGGCCCAAATCTAGCTAAAATCAATTACATATCATAAATACAACCATAATAGACTCATCTAATTAATGAAATCAACACTTTAACAAAAATTCCGAAATTTACCCTAAAAGGTTGACCCAGGCCCACATCTCGGAATAAGGTAAAAGTCACAAAAGACGAACACCCATTCACTCACGAGTGCACTCGTACCAATACTATCCAAATTTGATGTCTAAATCCCAATCAAAACTCAAAAATTCGGTTAGGGAACTCTTCCCCCATTTTTCCATTTTTCAATCCAAATCCGAAATTAAATGGAGGAAACAACTATAGATTAATGAAATACAACCAAAAATGAGTTAGGAATCGTTACCCCAAAGATCTCTCTGAAAATACCTCAAAGAATCACCAATTCCCGAGCTCCCAAGTCCAAAAATAAAGAAATGAATCATATCCTTGATTTGGCCCCTTTTCTGCCAGTTAAACCACACATGCGGTTACTTAACCGCTTCTGCGATACCGCTCCTACGACTAGAGTTCCGCACCTGCGGAAATCACTTATTCCATCTTCCTCCGCTTCTGCGAGCATTGACCGCATATGCGCGTGTCGCAGGTGCGGAAACTACCTCGCACCTGCGGACCCATGCTCGCACCTGCGCCCTACTCTCCGCTTCTGCGACCATCGCAGGTGCGGGAAAAATCTTCGCACCGGCAGACACTGCTCCACTCACCTCAAGTCGCTTTTGCGATCCAAATCCCGCTTCTGCGGGCTCGCACCTGTAGACTTCCCACCGCATGTGCGGAAACTCCAGAACCAGCAACTTCAGATTATGCTCAAGTCCAAATTTTCATCCGTTAAGCACCCGAAACTCACTCGAGGCCCACGGGACCTCGACCAAACATACCAACCAATCCTAAAATACTATACGAACTTAATCAAGCCCTCAAACGACCCCAATCAATGCTAAAATCACGAATCATCCTCCGATTCAAACTTAAAGAACTTAAAATTTTTCAAATTCGATAAACGATGCCGAAACCTATCAAACCACGTCCAATTGACCCCAAATTTTGCACACAAGTCATATTTAATATTACGGACCTATTTCAACTTTCGGAATCGGATTCTGACACCGATATAAAAAATTTCACTACTAGTCCAAAACTTCAAAAATTTAACTTTCGCCATTTCAAGCCTAAATGAGCTACAGACCTCCAAAACACAATTCGGACACGCTCCTAAGTCCAAAATCACCCAACGGAGCTAACAGAACCGATGAAACTCCATTCTGAAGTCATTTTCAAACAGTTCCGACTACGGTAAAAATCCCAAAATACTCCGAAACCAAAACAAAACCTCCCAGCAAGTCACTTAAGCAGAAAAAGATACGAGAAAAATAGTAAATAGGGGAACGGGACTATTACTCTCAAAACGATCGACTGGGTCATTACATCCTCCCCCTCTTAAAATAATTATTTGTCCTCGAACGAGTATAAAGACATACCTGAAGTGGTGAAAAAATGAGGATAACAGTTGCGCATATCCTTCTCGGTCTCCCAAGTCGCCTCCTCGACCGGCTGTCTCCTCCACTGAACCTTCACGGAAGCAATGTTCTTTGACCTTAGCTTTCTGACTTGCTTGTCTAAAATAGCCACTAGCTCCTCAACATAAGACAGATCCTTGTCCAATTGGACTGAGCTGAAATCCAACACATGTGACGGATCTCCGTGATACTTCTGGAGCATCGAAACATGAAATACTGGATGAACTCCTGCTAGGCTGTGAGGTAAGGCAAGCTCATAAGCAACCTCCCCAACTCGCCGCAACACCTCAAAGGGACCAATAAACCTTGGGCTCAGCTTGCCCTTATTTCTGAACCTCATAACGCCATTCATAGGCGAAACCCGGAGCAA